TCTTTTCATTTCGTAACTATCCCGTATGAAAGTTGCCATAAATCACGCCAACCAACGCCAGTCGCTCCGAGCCTTCATACGGAACTTCAGAGTGTGTCAGCGACGCCTTCATGATGAGCTCACCAACTGACAGATGGTGTTTATGACTTTAAGAGAATCGGACTTGCCCGGCTGCACGATTCTCACTGCCTTTACTCATTTATTTTGGCTTCACATGGCTTCGGCCCCTTTCGCAGGCTGTGTTTATCCATGCATTAATTGTACACCGTCTGCAAAGAGTAATTTCAGTGTAATGTTATTCAACTCCTTCTTTGGGCCCGTTTTGGTCAATCTGCAGTGAAGACCAATCTGAATGCTGGCAGGCACTCGGGTGGGTTTTTCACTTCGAACCCTTTCAGGGACAGCGTTTACTACAGTGGACAGGTTATCATGTTATCAGGTCACAGGTCATCGTTAACGGTGCATGAAAGGGTTAATCTGAAACCTGCGAGCATCTAATCTCTGCTTTTACGCGCAGGCGGTGCCCCTGTCAGTCATTTACCAATTAATACATGAATGAGCTAGTACAAATAAATATTTGGGGCGGCCCTGTGGTCGAGTGGTTCGCGCATTGACCTCACAGTGCAGAGGTACCGGGTTCGATTCCAGCTCCGGCCTTCCTGTGTGGAGTGTGCATGTTCTCCCCGTGAATGCGTGGCTTTTCTCCGGGTACTCCGGTTTCCTCCCACATTCCAAAAACATGCGTGGCAGGCTAATTGAACACTCGAAATTGTCCCGAGGTGTGAGTGTGAGCGCGGATGGTTGTTCGTCTCTCTGTGTGCCCTGTGATTGGCTGGCAACCGGTTCAGAGTGCCCCCCGCCTACTGCCCGAAGACAGCCGGGATAGGCCCCAGAACCCCCCCGCAACCCTTGTGAGGATGGAGCGGATCGGAAAATGGAAGAAATAAATAGTTGGACCTCTTGGCTAATACAGAAGAAAAGCCATCGGCACACCACGGGAAGAACCGCAGAAGAGTGCCTCAGAGTTGCAAGGGTGAGGAAAGCTGTGGTTCGCTGCAGATTCACTGATTTATTCTCCTGGCTGTCGCCATGACAGCTCTTAATGTGCAGGCCTTGTTTAGTTGGCACATGACGTACACTAACATGTCTCCAGGCAAGGGTAGGTCGTGAATCATGATTAAGCAGGCAAGGCATCATGCAATGTGACTCTACATGCAAATTGAGGAAGTGAAAAGAATGCATTTTCCCCATTTGGGCCTTCCAAGTTTTGTATTTGCTGTATTTATTCATAAGAGTTGGAATGCAAAGAGGCAAATCTTCATATTTATGCATGTGTTCACCTTTTTGTTCTTGCACTTGTTTTGATTGCACTTAAACGAGAGCTGTTCAGGGTCTTAATGTAGTTTCATAATTTATCTCAGCCTTCTGCTCACCGTCATGAACAAAATATCAGACTTCTTCAGAAATTGGCAAGGTCATGGAGAGTAAAGGTATGATTTCGATGCATCAACACAATGGTCATAGCATTTTTCATGATTTTTTTTGTATGTATTTAATAGACTAAATGATTATTAATACACTCAAAAAATGAATACAATTCTATTCGATATATTTTCTATCCGGGCGGCCTGGTGGTTGACTGGTTAGCGCGTCGACTTCACAGTACAGAGGCACCAGGTTCGATTCCTGCTCCGGCCTTCCTGTGTGGAGTTTGCATGTTCGCCCCGTGGCTGCGTGGATTTTCTCCGGGTATTTCGCTTTCCTCCCACATTCCAAAAACATGCAAGGCAGGCTGATTGAACATTCTAAATTGTCCCTCGGTATGAGTGTCGCGGGGCGTGCTGAGGTCAATCCCAGCTGTCTTCGGGCAGTAGGCTGGGGACCCCCTGAACTGGTTGCCAGCCAATCACAGGGCACGCAGACGAACAACCATTCGCACTCACAATCTCATCTAGGGACAATTTGGAGTGTTCCATTCCCAAGTTTTTTTGTTGGTTTGTTCTGGGAGTCTGGAACAGGAAAAAAAAAGGCATCCCCATTCATTTCAAAGGGAAGAGATGATTCGAGATACAAATGTTTTGAGTTCAGAGCATGGTAACGGATTGGAAACGGAATAAATAAAATATCATCACCCCGATAAGCTGTATGTATTATTAAACCTACTGCATAGTGTATTTCAAAGATGCATTGTTCTCTCCTGTGTTGTTTCCACTTTGCAGGTGTCCTGGTGCCATCAGAAAGATACCCATAAATACATTTGTAGACCTTTATTTTATTTGGTTGACATTTTAAGTGCAGTAAATTGTCACGGCATGTAGGCCATTTAGTCACTATTTCTACCCGTTCCATTGTATCATTAGTCTACTGCACAATGCAAAAAGATTACGGTCCACAAAGTGCATGCTGCATACTGTTATTCAATCAAATTCCCTTCTTCTTCTTCGTCTGGCTTTTATATCCGCAAAGACATTCTTATCATCAAGATGGCATCCTGAATTATGAGCGTGGACAATGTTATGGGTGACAACACGTACGACAATGTTTTTTATTGATATTGATTCAACCGCATTTATTACAGCCAAACATGGATGAAGAGATGGCTCGGAGGGTGGCCGAAGCTGCAGGCGCATTATGAGCCCCGTGAGATATGGCCATCGGGAACAAGCCCGGCCTGAGCTGCGGAGAGCATCGAGTCTCTACGTTTACATGTAGCCGATAACCCTTTTAAAAGGCCTTGTAAACACACGCAAAGCCCCAAGAAAAAAAAATGTTGATGCAAATATCTAGCATCAACACCTGTTTTATGAGCAACAAATATTTAAACACAAATGGTGCGGCAACACAGACAATATAACAATATTCCCAAGCCTATTTTCATTATCTTCTGTTTTGCATTTTGACATATAAGTTGCAAATACTAGAAGAAGCTATGTAGTCATGCGCAAACTGTTTCATCTATCTAATTATGTAATTACTGTTTCGGCATAGCAGCCAGTCATTGACTTGCCTTGGGGGGGCCTCGTTATGGGGCAATCTTATTTTGGAATGCAGGATGGTCGTTCACCTGCCACACTGGGCAACAACAACAGCACTCGATTGTGACCGCCTTCTATTTGGGCCACACCCACCGGGCAAACTCCACATCTCAATATTTAGAACTAAAGTTACCATTTTGAATGTTGTCAATCAACCTTTGTGGCTCCGTGTTGTAGTTATTTGGAATTAAAGTAGGCTGCATGACTCAGTTAGTTGTTGTTATTATAGATTTTGTTTTACCGTACGATTAATGCTCTAGTATAGCGGGAAAATTCCGTTGTGAGGCAAAATTAATTAATATCTACAGGGAGTCTGGTTGCTTCAGTGACAACTAGAATGGCATTTTTTTTTTTTTTACACAACAACTTTGTATTATTTTTATTTTTTTGAACTGCAACAGGCTATATGCAATGCAAGCACTAGCATAAATGACTATCTGCACACAAAATGTGGCAAACCGCATATGCTTCGTATGCACGATACCGTACTATTAATGCTCTAGTATAGTGGGCAAATTCCGTTGTGAGGCAAGATTAATTAATATCTACAGGGAGTCTGGTTGCTTCAGTGACAACTAGAATGGCTTTTTTTTTTTTTTACACAACAACCTTGTATTATTTTTCGTATTTTTTTGAACTGCAACAGGCTATATGCAGTGCAAGCACTAGCATAAATGACTATCTGCACACAAAATGTGGCAAACCCCATATGCTTCGTATGCACAAGGTCCAGCATTGTGAGACCCAATGCTGTCCAACTCCGCAGTGAGACTTCCTGCATTTCTTCCACATCTAAGTGATAAAAGAGACAGTGGGTCTGCTCTCTGTAGATAAGTCATGCTCATTAGTTTGTTAATAAAGTCTCTCTTGCCAGAACAATGGGCGGCCATGCCCTCTTTCAACATGGACCTCGGGAATTTGTCTCGGCAAACAGCTGCAAAGTAAAATGATTCTCCAATCGCTGAAAAAAAAATATCCTTTGACCGCAAACTCTTTGAAAAGCTGAACAATAATACATAAGTCAAGTGTGAGATTAAAAAAAAAAAAATGAAAAAGGCAACATATGGCATTATGCTGAATGGAATATTTTGTCAAAAGTTGATCATACCGACAGACAATTTCAAACTTCAGACTTCATTTTAAGGTAGAGCAAAAGCAAGCCTTCATTTTATTACAATGTCATGAATCCAAAAAGGCCAGTAACACTTCCCAAACGTAGAATTTTATTCGGCCTCACCAGGCTTTCGGTTGATACTTACTGCAGACACTCAGGGGTTTTTGTTTCGTAAATCTCACACAGTGGCTTGGATTGATTTTTCACTGATGTGAGGATACCGGTGCTACAACCGATAGAGCTCTTCGAAAGGCCAGCGTGTTTTATCCACATGGCAACAAGGAGCGGGGCCAAAAGGATTTGTCCAGGGCAGTGTGGACCTGGCGGTGTAATGACTATTGATTCTTCAAAAGAGCCGCATGGTAAAATGACTGCATTAAGTGAGCTTTGGTATTCAAAAAGATTTCTTTGGTGGATAAGGGAGCAAATTAACAATAATGATTGACCTGAATGTGTATGTTTATATTTCTCATTACTTTTTATTATGGCTCATTTCTAAATGGGATTTAAGTTTTAAGTGACAGGTTCGGCCGTGTGGTTTTGCCTCTGTTATTGGCAGAACAATTCGAATGAGTTGTATGTATGCTTCTTTTTGAAAGAAACGCTTTTGTGGATTAGCCTGTCATAGAAACGACGTCAAAGCTAACACAAGCCCGAACAACACCACACTTCATTCCGTGTTCAGTCAAAAGATGTAACAGGCTTGCTTGTTGTGTCAAGTTCTGAAGACACTCCTGAGAGGCCCTTTTTTTGTGGCACCGTAAGAGACATCAGCGTGTGGTTTTAAACAGAAGTGAGAAGTGAGCTCAAATGTTTGCAAACGTGTGGGCTTAGTTATGAATGTTACTCACAGGTTGTGTCTTGACCGTCTCCTGAGGCTTGACATCCATCTTCGTCATCACAATCTGCTGTACTGCCCTCTTTCTCCCCACTGCCCAGCTCTTCCCAGGCTTCCATCTGGCCCAGATTTGGAAATTTCTCCTGGGTCTCCTGGACAAAAAAAAAAAAACAACAACTAAGAGTTTGACCCACACTGGAAGAGCAATGTTACTTTGACACAAAAATGTAATTGTATGACACATTTTGGTCTGTCATTTGAAATATTGGGTGTAAATCACTGTCGACCACTAGATGGCGGCACACTTAGTTTAAGATCGTATCAATTTGAAATAAGAACATATCAGGAAGTTCAATACGGCATTACGGCATCACCTAGTTTTTGTTGAACATTACTTCAATGGCATTTGTTGTAATCCTGCTTTTTATGCCCACAGAAAGGTTGTGTATCTGCATGATTATTCATGTATATTGTGAGACGAGAGTTTTTTAGTTCTGAGAAAACAAAGCCCTCTGGCGGTCGCACAAAGCCGCCATCCTCAAGGCGAAGGGGGGAATGGCACTCGTTTTAGAACCACTTTCGAGATGGTTCTGAAAAGCCGTGCCATTGCAACCACTCGGCCCTGAAAAAAAAAAATCTAATAACGAACATCCAGGGCCAAGCGAAGCCGTTTCGGTGTGAATGAAATATACTGATGTGGGACTTCTCGATTGAGAGTTTAAAAATCTTGCATGTTGTGGAGGAGATCATTTGGCCTTGGTTGTTAGCGGAAGCTCCAGAGAGTCTTTGCCACACAAGGATGTACACATGCACTTCTGGTGCTTTCTTTCAAAATCAAATCATTTGTCAATGCCATGGCAAATTCCCCAAACAATGTTAACACTCAGATTCATCCGATGCCTCAAGTTTTTTTTAAAAAAAAGCAGAATAAGACATTTAGTTTAATCTCAATCAGGCAGTGTCGGCTGTAAGTAATGAAAAGCGCTGGCAGGGAAAATATTGAGTAGTACAGCTGCCAACAATGTGTCATGAGCAGTGAAGCAGTGTTTGAAAAGTAACGACGGCGTGGTTTAACAAGTGGTACAGGACGCTGAGAAACGAACACATCAAAGGGAGACATGACATTTTTTTGGGTTCATTTCATTTCAGCGATTAAATAAAATTTACAGTTGTTAAGCACAGTCAGATAAAAGTGTCCCAAAAAAAAAAAATGAGTGTCACCGCAGGTGTATAACATCTGATTCAGAAAATGACATGGCTTTTTTTCTATAGGATTATGAAAATTTGTCGTCTGAATTTGATTGCAATCCTGCTTCAAGAACAAGTATTAGAAAATGAGTTTTAAGGTGTCGATTGTGCCACTCTGGAACATCTCCTTTTCCAAAAACAGACACAATGATGTTATTCAGTTGTATAAAGTATAAAGTCAATAATGTACTCCTGGGAGTGCTTTTTTTCTATAGGATTGTGAAAATTTGTCGTCTGAATTTGATTGCAATCCTGCCAAAAGCGAGCCTGACGAACAGCCTCGGATGAAAACATCAGTTTCGATATTTTTGCTCCGGGATGAAATGAATCATGATTCATTACAACCATAAGCAATTTCCATTTCTCGTTACAGTTGTCTCTCTCTCCCGGTATGTGGCCAACTAATGGGACCACCTGCTGGCCCATCTATCTGACCGACATCATCAAGGTGCTCTTTGTTCCATTCCTACACGTCAAACCAGAAGCTCTCCTGACACAACAACAAAGGCATCCTTTTTAGAAGGTCGGAGAGAATCGTGAATGCTAGATGTGAATGTAAAGTGGAAGACAACAAACAGCCTGCCTTGTACGTTTGGTTTACAGGGGAAAAGGCGGACAAGGTCAACGTTACTTTAAGTTTTAGACGGCACTTCATGCCACTCAAAACACATGACAGAAAAGGTGACCTGAAATAGTTTTGTTAGTGTAATAGTCAAGTTTTGAACACACAAACATGCAGCAGCTCCCAGGGTGATATACAATTCAGTAGCTTTTTTGTCGAATGCACTATTATGGCACCGCAGGGTTTCTTGGGACGAACAGAAATATATGCAGTGGTCATTTTTCAAAGTGGCAAATGAGAAGTATCCACGGATTGGGTCAAAGTGTGTTACGTTTTCTTCAATTATGGAATTGAAATGTGCAAATAAACCTTTTCGGGGGAGGAGGGGGGGCATTTTCTTCATGAGTGTCCTGATGTGTCAGGTAATGTGTGGTGCAATTTAACATGCTTCTCCAAATGATCAAGCACTGTATTGACATTGATTTTCCTCAAGCTTTGAGGAACAATTTATTATAGCTTATGAATTCTACACAGCAACAGGTAGACACACTGAGGGGGGCCAGGAAAAACAATTTTGCGACACCAGCTAGGTAGCTAAATTATTCATCGTAGAGTTTCAAAATGAATCACACACTGTAGAACGTGTTCCAAACAATTATGCAAGTATTGGTTTTCTCAGATTTTTATAGTGTATGAAAATGGATCTCAGCATGATTTTCAAGTCATCAACCGTGATAGGTACCCGACAGGTTCACGCAGAAGCTAAAGATCAATTATTCGTTCAATCAATGCAAGAATTTCAAAGCTGCTGTTGAATAAGAAATTTTAAAATGTAACTTGGCCTGTTAAGATGTTTATGATTCCAGCAAATACAATCTCCTAATGCTGCAAATGACTTTTCAGTTCTTTACAAGCTGTAAAATGTCTTGAAACATTGCTGCGCATAATAATTTGGAAAAATGCACTTTAACATTTTCATTTGGGGGGGGGGGGGGATTCTGTTATCATTGGGTAGTTTTGTTTGAAAACATTCAAATTATTCTCTAACAGTTGATACCGGGAAATATTATGGTGGGTGCCATTTGAAAAGACGAGAAAAATCAAAGAAAAAAAAATCATTTGCATAAAAATGTTGAAGGTGTTTCGGGCTATTTGTGGTTTGTGTGGTTTAGTATACTCAAAGATTGCTGCTGCTTTTGAAATCACTGCCAACACAAGAGTGATTGTATCTCAAGTGTGCACTCGCAAGTCAAAGCAAAACAAACAAAAAAAAAAATCAGCTGAATGATGGCTCGTACTTCAAAATGCAAATCGCGTGACTCTTATCTCATGGCGCCACTATATTTTATTTATTTATTCATTTATTTTTAGGTTCTGTTCACATCTCAGCCTGTCGACAGCCTTTGCTCATTTCCTGGCTCTACCTACTTTGACGCAACAATGTGATATGCCAAATTAGAGGATGCGCTATTGATTAGGAAGCTCACAGAAGACACGGTGCCCTTTTGGGGAGGATGAGGTATTTATGCAACGCATTCATCAGGATGTTTTGGAGCTAACAGAAGATGGACTATGAAAAGAAAACAGTTTGCAGAAAGTCGCCGAGATGAACCCGTTGACTTTTTTTTTTTCCTTCTTACACAAACGGACAGACTCTGTGGATATCCCATGAGTTCACAATGAAACAGCCAGCTCCACAACAAGTGTTGCTAACCAACAGCATCCTGATAAGCGGTTGCGTATTACGCTAACAACAGTGCCTTTAAGTATCTATTTAACAGAATGGTGCTTGGCCCAGCTGTCCGTTTTAATTGGTGAGGAAATCAATGAAGGCGTCGTTACTGTGGAAACTAGAGTTCCTCTGCTCGGAAATTGCTGCTTGGCTTGTTTCCAAAGCAGATTTTTTTTCCCTTTGTTTGTTTGACTTTCAACCTCAAATTGCGGATTTCAAAGTTGCACAGATGGAAATCATTTTTGTGGCTTTTCGATGACAATTCTTATTTCTTGCGAGGAGCTTCCAAGAGGAAGCACAATGTAAGATCACCCGATAAGTATTTTAAATGTCTCACGCACCACAAGCGAATTGGGAAATGAAACCCAATTTTCACCCAAAACACACACACACACACACACACACACACACACACACACACACACACACACACACACACACACACACAAACACACACACACACACATGATGTAGAGGACAAAGCTTCAATGAAGAAAATCAACTAATAATGTGTGTGCTTGTCACTTATGAGTAATTTCATTGGTGAGATGTTCATCTTTTCATCAAACTGCTAGAAGGGAAATCAATGAGCTGTCACGCTTGAGAATTAGTAGCTAACTGGGATAAAACCTAAATTAAAAAACATAAATACACATGATGAATATGATACTGTATCTCAAAGGGAAATTCAATTTCCACTTTGCTATTTTGTCACCAATTTGTGTCAGCGGCCCTCAGGTGATTTTCCAAGGGCTCTGTGACTTGCTCAAGGGCACGTCAACAGTAGTCACAATGCACACTAGCACGTCCTGAACGACTTGCAATTTCTTTGTCCACTTAAAGCGTGACCCTCTGTTTGCGTCGCCCGAGTCCTCACGGATGAGCTACTGCTGACCCTTTTCTATTGAAAATGATTTTGTCAATATGTAATTAAAACTTCATTCAAACCAAACCTTTTTTTTTATATTACAGAGAAGGGAAAAGCATTGTGCATTTTTTCTGTCAAGCTCTCAAAATGCTTTTTATCTCTGTTGACCGTTCACTGATCACTTAATTGGGTAGACCTGCAAAAAATCTAATGAGACCTAATGCAAGCGCTGAAACAGCAAAACAAAACCCAAAAGCGATTGCTTTTGATTTTCTCAGTCCAAGAGCTATTACTTGAATAATAAATGAAATACATTTACCATTGTCACTGTCGTTTGCAGCAGTACTAGAGCAACGCTAATAACACAGCTGAATGAGCTAATAGCCTTCTGCATGACAGATTTCGGTCCAAAAAGTTCAAAACATACAAAACCTTTGGTTCAAAAAATTTCAATCTCACTAGATCATGGATGGGAGGTGACATTTTCAAAAGAGGCCACACAAGAAAATGGAACGGTTGGCGACGGTCATGCCAACGGGCCAACGTTTACCGTGTTCCATATGAATTTTCATGTATTATATATGTCATTAAATTTACATATGCATATTATCTTAAAGTGCATCATTTACAGTCATTACATACACTAGGTGCCATTAAATGACATCCAGCAATTGTGATAAAACAGCCATGGTGAAAAATAGACGGTTTAAGAGAAAATGGATCAAAAAATAATATTATACAT